CCGCTCGAGCATATTGACGATGAACGGGACGACAGGTGATACAGTGTGAAAGTCACAGGGCAAGAGAATGTTTTCCCGGGAACATTTTGGATTCTTTTGAATGGTTTTTTTCACGACGAACGATATAACAGTTAGAAGCCTGACAATGTTACATAAATATCTTTCTTGTTTAGTCACAATTGTTTCAGAAACTTCCTGATGATGCTATTTTGGTGGCAGATGGTGGTGACTTTGTTGGATCAGCAGCATACATCGTACGACCACGTGGTCCATTACAGTGGCTTGATCCTGGAGCATTTGGTACACTCGGTGTAGGTGGCGGATTTGCACTTGGAGCCAAAGTTGGTAAAAAAAAACATTTCATCCGATGAATACATAGTCTCTCATAGTTTTCCAGTTTCACTTTTCTGTTCTCATTTTAGGTGGTTCACCCTGACCGTCCAGTGTATATTCTCTGGGGAGATGGGTCATCTGGTTATTCCATTATGGAATACGATACATTTACTCGGCACAAGTTGCCAGTTATTGGTGTTATTGGTAACGATGCTTGCTGGTCTCAGATTGCTCGAGAGCAAATTCCGATGTTTGATAGCAGTGTTGCAGTTGACTTGGCGGTAAAAGCTCCTTAATTATAGTTAACTCCATTGTATTCGGTTACTATGTGAACCTTCTATACAAAAATCTTGTTTTGAACTATATTTCGTTCAGAGAACCCACTATGATAAAGTGGCAGCTGCTTTGGGAGGATGGGGCGTAACGATTGATGCTGAAAATGTGTCATCTACTGAAGAAATTCTAGAGGAAGCTCTGCGTGAAAATCGTCAGGGCAAAAGTGCTCTACTCAATGTACTTATTGGCAAAACGGACTTCAGAGAGGGTTCAATATCAGTGTAGCACAAATGCTACTGGACCGAGAGATCTGATCGAAATGCTACTTCGGCTTCATCTCTTTAACTACTTCAACAGTGACCGAAACTACGGGCGGTATTCTTTTGGTTCATGGTAATGTGGCCAACCCATTATTTGCGAGATAAGGGTTCATGCTTTGAAAGGATCTTCTTATTGCTGGCGAACATAGAAATTGGCTTACAAGAAATATGAATGTGCAAGATGGTTACTCAAGTAAGAAACTGTTCAGAGCACAAACCAATTTTTTATTGAAGCATATTGAGTCGCAGTAAAAAGATCCTTTCCAAAGCCCCTCACAAGGGAGGTCTTTCAGGGCAAGGTGCGCTTTTTGGAAACGGTTTAGTACATGTTGTAGGGACGCATGTATGGACCACAAAACCATGTTTCGTTTTCGCTGAACGGTTTTAGTAGTACCAAAAAAGTGGTGAATAATACTCTTGATGGTTCAATCCCCCGCGGCGACTAAATTTTGCAATCAAGGTTGGCGGCCACTTGTTGGCTTCAAAATGGTCCTGACGATGAATTTGACATCTGATTTTGATATTTAGCGCGATTTGGCACCAAACCGTAGGCGCCAACCCAAATGCAAAATTTAGTCGCCACGGGGGATCGAACCCTTAACAGTACCTTATGCTTCTTTTTGGTACTGCTATAACCGTTCAGCGAAAATGAAACATGGTTTTGCGTTCCCTACATGCGTCCCTACAATATGCACAAAACCGTTCTTTGAAAAAGCGCACCTTGCCCTGAAAGACCTCCCTTGTCAGTGCTTGAATCGTTCAACAACCACATCCACGTTTTTTAATATCGTCATTCTTCAGGATCTTTTCTATATTCTTATTCATTCTAAATGTTCGCTTTCATTCCAATAGTAAGTAAAATGGTATTACCAGATGATTAACCAAAGCACATTTGACGCTGCCTTCTCTAACATTCCTAATTTTCACTTGTTTCGAGCCCAGTATTTCAATTCACTTGACCTGCTTGAAAGCCCATGAATTGCCATGTGATTAAGTTGTTACGATCTTAAAGGCCATGCTTTTTTTGCCATTCATGCTTTTTTGAATTGGTGTATGTGTTGCTGTTGTGAAAATATCTTATGGGTTACAAGAGTAGAGAAATATTAAGAATCTTATTTTACACCAAACTTATTTGATGATTAGATATGGTGATATATGGATAAGTAATTTTATGAGCTTTCCTAACACTGTTTTCTGTTATTATTGTGCAAAACGTCGACATTTATTCCCGGTTTGTCTAAATCCGTGCGAAAGCAGTGATTTTTCACACGTTGCTTTCCCCAATAATTTGCTGCACAATGCATTGCTGCTATGGGCAGAGGTCTTTTTTCACCATTCAATCTAGCCTGCAGTTTTCGACTTCTCACAAAGGTGGATATGCTAATTTATTATAAATATCCCAGGTCCACTTTTTCTTAGTCGAGTCAACATCTTGAGTTTCCCCAAAACATCGGTGTTGGGTTTAGATCAGCGCCCTGATCACGGAGATGGCATTCTTTTTGGCGCCAGCGCACTTTTGTGCCACCCTTGGGGCCGCGACATGTTTGCCCCACTTGTCGAGAAAAACTCATCGTGATGGGGTTATCCTCACCATGAATATGGAGTCTAACATAGAGATAGTAGCAGTGGGCACTCACGCTGAAGTAAGCCAAAAATGCAAAAACCGCACTCCGTAACGACTCGGCGAACAACCCTTACCGCGCCGTGCCAACTAGAGCTTACTAGTGCCAGTCCTGCGCACACCGGAGAATGTCTCCTACGGAGTGCTACAAGGAAGCTCAGGGCCCCCGTACCGCAGGGACGGCGTCGGGGGAAGCCTTCTGCTGGTGAGGGGCCATCTAATCTCGCAAGGGAATCAGGACGTCATCGGAATCGGAACATTGGAAACTCCCTCATACCACGACACAAGGACTGCCTTTTCGTATGCTCGTATAACTGTCGCACCATAGCATCGGAAGCTGATCTTCGGACACTTTTACTGAGGAGCCGATTAATCAGATATGATGTTATCGCTTTACAAGAACGAAGGGCAGAATGGAAACCATCAAGAAGACCGACCGCAACGAGCTGCTCATAATTGGAGCAAGGTGGATAACATGAACGTCGGTGGAGTTGGATTTCTCGTAAACTCGACAGTTGCCAGCTTAGTGGACTCTCACAAAATTGTCAGCCCACGTCTTGCTGTTCTTCGACTCCGACTAAAGGCCAAGGAGCAAGATGTAATATCTATTATTAATGGATATGCACCAACCTCTGCGGCCGCAAATGAAGAACGCGAGGAAGAGACAATTCGAGAAGAGAGGACCTATTACAAATTTGTTGTCGGCGACTTTAACGCTGTGGTGGGCACAAACAGCAGGGGTGATTGGAGACTCGGACCTCATGGCTGTACTGATAGAAATAAAAACGGAGAACGTCTGCTGGACCTTTTGTCTCCCATGCCGTCTTTTTCAGTGGAAATTTCGTGTTTTTGAAAAACCAGCCAGAAGACGATGGACCTGGGAAAAGGTCCCAACGGGCAATCGCACACCGAAATAGATCACATCTTAACCAATAGGACGTTGGAGTTTATTTGACGTGTCCGTGTTGCCTTCATTTGACACCGGATCAGACCATCGCCTGATACGCGCGAAGATACATCTGAACAAGAAAATATTTAAGCGTGACACACATAGGCCGACACCGTTCAAGAGCCCCTTGTACAATAGCGAGATACTTGAATCTGCCATTGAAAGCACGACGATTGGTGTCTTTCGACAACCCAACGGAAGACTATGAATGCCTTGCTAAAGGCTTACTCCAATGTGCAGACATCTCTCGGCACTTACAGCAGGATTCCATCCCAAGATTGAATACTACTGCCATCGAGCTGCTGGAAAAACGGAAAGCTGTGAAACAAGATCCCAACCGCCACACACCTGGAGAAAGTCATCGCCAACAGAGCATGCCGCATAGCTGTCAAAGAGTCGCTTCGCACCTACAGGAGAACTAAGTTATTAGAAGCCGCAGAAAGAAAATCTAGCATTAAACGTTGCAAACGAGATCTAAATGATCAGAGGATCGTTATGGCCGCACTCATGGACAAAGAAAAGAAAATACACACGTCAAGAAGAGGTATGGAGATATTGTTGGCAATTTCTACGCAGACCTCTTTCGGTTCACGACCACAACTGTCCTGCGAAAGTTCCGAACCGCGGTTGAAGACCTCCTACTATTGTGGAACCAGAAGTTGCGAACGCGATACGAAGCATGAGAAAAGGAACTGCCCCAGGGCCTGACAACATATCTGCAGATTTGCTACGTGCTGGGCATACAGCTCTCTATGCTCTCCTCGCCAGACACTTCAACCACTACCTCAAGCTAAGAGAAATTCCGGAACAGTGGAAAGGATCGAGAACCGTTCTTACTGTTTAAAAAAGGCCAGCGAGAAGATATCGCCAACTACAGACCTATCAGCCTTCTCTCGGTGGTATACAAAATCGTTCACAAAAATACTGCTCAATCGCATGGAACGCATCTTGGACGAATACCAGCCAGTAGAGCAGACAGGGTTCAGAAAGAACTTTTCATGTATGGACAACATTCAAGCGGTCACTCAGCTTATTGAAGGAGCCACGAATATCACCTTCCATTAGTCCTTGTCTTTGTTGACTATAAAAAAGCATTCGATTCTGTGGAGGTCAATGCTGTTCTGAATGCTCTCATACAAGCCGGAGCTCCCCCTGCCTACATCCAACTGCTCGAACAATGCTTCTCAAATACAACAACAACTATCCAGCTGTTCGAGCGAAAGATAAGATCCTTATTCAGAAAGGAGTACGGCAAGGTGATACGATATCACCAAAGTTATTCACGGCTGCATTACAGTACGCGATGTCAAACCTTAATTGGGAAGACAAAGGATGCCTCATCAATGGGAAAAGAATGAATAACCTCCGTTTCGCTGATGATATCGTATTGATATCTAACAACACAATCGAAATGGAAGAAATGGTCAACGAACTCAATGTGGAAGGCCTGAAGATCGGCTTGGAAATGAACATGTCAAAAACGCAAATGATGGTAAATCAGTGGTGTGATACAGGTACAGTAAAACTGGCGGGAAAAGCTCTAGAGAGAGTAGAAAGCTACGTGTACCTGGGAAGAGAACTGAACATGACGAACAATATTACTCCTGAAATAAACCGAAGGAGGCGCGCTGCATGGGCAGCCTTTGGAACGATTCGAGAAGTAACGGACCAAATGAAAGATCCCGACCTCAGAGCCTCTATATTTAATGCTTCAGTGTTACCAGCAATGTGTTATGCCACTGAAACATGGCCTGAGAATAAGACGATAGCCAAAGCCATGCAAACAATACATCGTGGCTAGAAAGATGTTTCCTGAAAGTTAGTCGACATCAGCAATGGAGACAGAGCCTACGAAGTTCAGAATTAAGAGAGAGAGATCACACCTGAAAGATCCCCTGCAGTACATGGCACAATCGAAACATCGTTGGGCTGGTCATTTACTTCGCCGAGACGATGACAGATGGAGCCTCCGAGTCACTGAATGGCTCCCAAGAAACAAAACAAGACCGCTAGGACGACCGCAAACCCGGTGGGCCGACTCGTTTTCAAAGTATTTCAGACAACGCGGTCTACACTGGATGCAAGTTGCAAAAAACCGGGAAGGATTGGTTGCATCAAGTGTTCCACTATTCACGTTGTGCTTATACAGGGTGGGCCAAAATTATGAGGACCGCGTGTCGCGCGCGTCATATCACTCTTTTTCCGAGTCGCTCAGTTTCCACCTCCTCTTATAGGAAATATATAATAGGGTTCAATGTCTTTTTTTTGGAAACCAAATATCGCACTGTTCTCAAAGTTAGTGAAATAACAATACCTCCTTACGTCAGTCCTCAAATTGAACTCCCTAAGGGCTCTGGCACGTTACCTCTAGCGGCAGTCTAACGTATCAGGGAAA